CCCGGCCTCCGGGAATCGGCCCTGACGTGCCGCCCGTCCCGCCCGCAGCCCTAGGCGGCGTCGCCGCAGCCGATCCCGGAGTCGGAGCCGGTCCCGGTCCCGGAGCCGGTCGCGCTACAGCCGCTCGAAGTCTCGGTCCCGCACTCGCTCTCGTTCCCGCTCGACCTCCAAGTCCAGATCCGCTCGGAGGTCCAAGTCCAAGTCTTCGTCGGTGTCCAGATCCCGCTCGCGATCCAGGTCCCGGTCTAGGTCCAGGAGCCCTCCACCGGTGTCCAAGAGGGAATCCAAGTCCAGGTCGCGATCCAAGAGCCCCCCCAAGTCACCTGAAGAGGAAGGAGCGGTGTCTTCTTAAGAACATGGTAATGTCTATGGGGATCCGAGACACATGACCCTGATTCGTAAATGGGGTTTGGAGTAGGTTTCTTTGAGCCGTGTTAATATGGAAGTGGCTCCTAATACTAGGAGCGCTGCCTGAGGTTGCTCAGCTTTGGGAGTAATACTGAAGAGAGGGGTCTGCAGAGAGGATGTGTGTGAAGCTAGATAATAATGGCTGTTACATGAACTGTTTGAGACCTATTATTGAAAATGACTATTTCTTGCTGTTTTTATCCAACGTCTGCATTTTCCCCCTTTAAAGCTGCGGTCTCCTGTTTGATAAAAGAATATTGGCCAGTATTGCAGATTTTAACTGATTTGGCTGATCCTCCAGGGACCAGTTTCTGTGGGCGTGTATTGGAGCAGGTTTGTCTTTAATGTTAAAGATGCACTATCCTCTTAGAGAAAAACAATCAGTTCAACTATTGTTGTACTGACTGGGACTTCATATTCTAATGGATGTGGCAAACGAATTGCAATAAGAAGCACTGAACTTTTGGAACCCCAAAAGAAAGCTAACAGGTATTGCACTGGGTGGGGAAAGGATAGTGTGTCTTTAACTCTCAAATTGTTTGGTCCTATTTTTTAAAAGGAAAGAGCCCTAAGTAGCACAGATATTAAAGCATAGTTATTCTCAATTGCCAAATATTCCATTTGGAATAATTTTAAAAAAACAAGCTAATTCTGATTTCAAGTTGTTTTGTTTGGACACAGCCCTTTTTTTTTTTCCGTTTTTCTTTTTTTCTCCCCCTTACCTTGCCTTTTTCACCTTGGTTATTTGGCCAAGAATACATAAATTCAAACTTGTACATGCTGGTGGTAGCATTTGTGAAAATTTCCTAATTGGGCCTTTAAAAAAAAAACCTGATAAAGGCTGGTGGAACCTTATTGTACCCTTCTCCTTTCACCAGAGCCTTAGTAAGTACATGCCTGAAACTGAAACCATGTGCACTTTGGTATCTTCTTAGTACTGGAAGGTAAACTGAACTTGTTTCTTTTCAAACCTAGATGTATCGGCAAGCAACATAATGGCGGACTTGGGGGAAAAGGACCACATACTCAGTCCATCTAAGAAGAGTCCTTGGAACAAGCAACTGGCTATTGAAAAGGTTATTTTGTAACATTTGTCTAACTTTTTAACTTGTTTTAAGCTTTGCCTCAGGTGGCAAACTTCATTTATGTGCCATTTTGTTGCTGTTATTCAAATTTCTTGTAATTTAGTGAGGTGAACGACTTCAGATTTCATTATTGGATTTGGATATTTGAGGTAAAATTTCATTTTTGTTATATAGTGCTGACTTTTTTTGTTTGAAATTAAACAGATTGGTAACCTAATTTGTGGCCTCCTGACTTTTAAGGAAACGTGCAGCCATTACACACAGCCTAAAGCTGTCAAGAGATTGACTCAACATTGCCTTCAATCCTTAAAATTAAAAACCTACAAAAGTTGGTGTAAATTTGTTTGTATATGTTATTTACTTTCAGATCTAAATGGTAATCTGAACCCAAATTTGTATAAAGACTTTTCAGGTGAAAAGACTTGATTTTTTGAGGATTGTTTATCAAACACAATTCTAATCTCTTCTCTTATGTATTTTTGTGCACTAGGCGCAGTTGTGTAGCAGTTGAGTAATGCTGGTTAGCTGTTAAGGTGGCGTGTTGCAGTGCAGAGTGCTTGGCTGTTTCCTGTTTTCTCCTGATTGCTCCTGTGTAAAGATGCCTTGTCGTGCAGAAACAAATGGCTGTCCAGTTTATTAAATGCCTGACAACTGCACTTCCAGTCACCCGGGCCTTGCATATAAATAACGGAGCATACAGTGAGCACATCTAGCTGATGATAAATACACCTTTTTTCCCCCTTCCCCCCCCAATGGTAAATCTGATCATATTTACATGTATGAACTTAAAAAATATGGAAAATGTTAAGGAAGCAAATGGTCTGTAACTTTGTAAGTACATACAACATGGTGTATCTTTTTGCTTATTATGAATATTCTGTACTATAACCATTGTTTCTATAGTTTAATTAAAATGTTTTCTTGGTGTTAGCTTTTCTCAGAATATGTCTTGGTCTTTTTTCCCCTCATTTATTTGAAAGACCTATGCAATTATTTTGTGAATGTTACTGTATAGTATGAAAGTGAAATGTTTAGTACCTGACTTTTCCTAAGTTAAAAAGAGGAAATGCCAGTTCAGCACCCTAAAATCAATGCTTTAAGGTGTAGCACTTTCTTAAGGTTGAGTACTCCCTTCTCAACCTAATTTATGTCCTATTTGAATGACTAAAGAACAATCCAAGTCCTTTTTCTTTATAGGTGTTTTAATTTTTATTTTCAGTTATGTTACCTGCAAATGTTATCTAGGTGACATTACAATCTTAAGGCCAACAGATGTGACCATCTTCAAACACAGAATTTTCTCAAGAATTTGAAGTGTGCCAGGTTGCTAATCAGTATTGACATTATCTCAGAACAGCTTGTAGGTATAATTCAGAGACTGTCCTTTGCAAAGGAGATGACCAGCATTTCAACAGTATGTCTTCCTGGAAGGGCAGATTCTGCTAAATCTTCTTTGTCTGCATCAAAAGACTCCAGAGGAATATGGACACATTTCATATCCCACTTGTAGAGCAAAGCTTCAAGTGACCAGTCAGCACTTAAAAAAAAAATAAATTGTTTTTTTTTTTTTAAATAATGCCTTTTCTGTTTTGCTTTAGATAAACTAATTTTATTCTTAAATCAGGTATTGCATGGTTAGTAAAATTTAAGTTACCTTTTCAATAAGATTGAGAGTAAAGCCCAATTCACTTACCTTCTAACCTGGTAAGTAGACCACAGTTGGACCTTGGGGTTCTTCTGCATCAGAAAGTACACTGTAGTTAAGATATCTTCAAAATCTAGGGGGAAAGAGCTTCTTAATAGACTTTTCTACAATGCATCTCTGGCCAAGCTTACTATTGACCCCCTAAAAGTTTACCTTCTGGTTCAAAGAACACATCAGATGCAAGAATAATATCTTGTGGTGGCAAAGTCAGAAGACTGCAAGATATGTGGCCCCACGTTAGTCCTACCACATGCACCTGTGGCAGGTTATTCATTAGGCAGCTTTTCCGACAGATTTCCAGACAGTGGGGCAGCTCGGAGCTGTCTGACAGTGTTACATCTGCACCGCATTTTGCAGCCAAAATTCCTGGGAGACTCACTCCGGCTCCAATCTAGTAAATTTAAAGAGATACTTCAAAATTATGCTTAATACTGTAAAGAAGTTCACATTTTATCCTTGCACTATTTGATAAGCAGTTAACACTTTGGGGTTTGTAAAACGTATCACAAACATTACCTGTAAAAAGCTCAGACACTTGAGTATGACAAGGGAATTCTTGTTATAACCTGTTTGACTACTCAGACAAAGGGCAGATTTTAACAAGTACTGGTTAAGCTCATTTCAATATTAAAGGGTTCTATACCTTGGACATGACTCAAAACACTGCTTCCTACTGCCACATTATACCTAAGGCAGTTTAATTGCCTTGCAAAAGCAAGTAGTTATGGACACTAACTGCTATGATTTTCAGTTTTTATTACCTTATTGCAATGATCTGTAGTTGCTTTTTTTGTATAACTTAAACAGTTGTGACTAAGGGAGATGTTTCCAATTGGGCTTTGAAAGCAAGACACTGCAAACATACTGCAAGAAATAATACCAAAGAATGCCTTCAGAGACCTGTTAATGTACATGTTGATGAAAACAGCTCTCCTGTTGGGCTGGGAATGGAGATGATATTTTATGAAGAACAGGCAATTATGACTATCTTGGGCCAAAAGTATATGTGATTTACAACATTTACATGGCTTTGCAAAAGTTAATTTTTTTTTGAGACAGTCTCACTCTTGCCCAGGCTAGAGTGCTGTAGCATCATAGCTCACAGCAACCTCAAACTTCCGGGTAAAAGTGATCCTCCTGTCTCAGCCTCCCAAGTAGCTGGGACTATAGATGCTAACCACAATGTCTGATTGAATTTTTCTATTTTAAGTAGAGACTGGGTCATGCTCTTGCTCAGGCTGGTCTCAAAACACCCAAATTCATGGGATCCTCAGCTTCCCAGAGTGCTAGGATTATAGGCATGAAAAATCACACCTACTGGTAATTACATTCTTTTTTCTTTTTTGGGGGGTGGCGTTTTTGGCTGGGGTTGGGTTTGAGCCCACCACCTCTGGCATAGGGAGCCAGGGCCCTACTCCCTTGAGCCACAGGTGCTGCCCCAGTAATTATATTCTTAAACTGATTTTTCTAGTCAGCCCTTGCCTTAAGCATAGCAAGAGCATTTCTGCAAGCCTTTAGTCTCAAGCTAGGGGGAATGGTGAGAAAGTTTAAAAACGAAATA